CATCCTACCCACCCAGAGAGAGCGAGGCCAGTTGTGCTCTCTAGGACTCCTGGCAACGGATGGCTGTAGCATCACCTTTGATGATCTGATCTAAATATGTTTTTTATTTGTGGTAATACAGAGCAGAAATATTGTTCAAATATGTCCTGAATCTGTAGAGTCTGCCCTTTCCGTTCCATCTTATTGCGAGATCATACATGACTCATATTCGGAGTTATGAGGCTATGAAGAGGGGTTGAGATACACGTCATCTGCCTCTCACTGTGTGCAATTGGTGTATTCATGTGTCCGTCCACTTGTGTGAAACGGACCCATGAACACTCAGGGAATCCCTAATGACTTACCCATCATATTGGAAATCTTTCATTCACTCAACATCAGAGACACTTGAAATGGCGTGCAAAGAGCTTATAGCCGCTGAAGTCGCTGCAGTGGTTTTGGAAGGTATTGATGGAAATAACAGAGCATTTGAATATGAAACATATGGCTGTCATGTTATATGCAAGTGTCTATAAAGGTTACGGTAAAAAGACATAGAAAAAATTGAGAAAATGGCCTTAGACCCCAGAGGGTTAACATATAATGTGCTCAAACAGTTCAGCCTAGCACAGAGCATTAGATGGCCAGAGTGATTTGAGGTATGATTTAAAGTGGCCCTGGTCAGTGGCCACTCTTCTGTTTGTGATCATAGAAAACATTAAAAGCAATTAAAATACTTGCTTAATAGGACTTCATTTTATAAAATTCATATTAAAAAATGAAAGTCGTTTATTAAACTGACTCTGCAGGCTCAGGTGCATTCCCAGCATTGACTGAAAGGCCTAGTGTACTGTGACCATGACCTTATTAAGCAGTGATTAAATGTTGAGTGTAGATGAAAGTCCTGAAATACTTTTATTTACATGTTCATGTTTTTAAATGACGTGTGCATGAAGGATGAGTTTCTGTCCTTTTAATGAAAATGGCTGATTCTGTTTATAAAGGACACTTTCAAAATGCTTATATATGCAAAAAATTGGGGGCAATTTGAATGTATTACTATCAGTATAAGCTCTTCTTTTATACCTTTGTTTCTTTTACACAAAGTCTCTGTGGACCTATCAAGGGAGTGTAGAAATGAAATCTTAAAAACTTGAGCAAATACAAAGGGGGTAAATATATGAAACGAGCTGTTGGTTATAAAGGTACAACACAATCATCCTTACTTTTAGTAGAACGTATGTATGTCTAATGTGACTTTCATAGTAATACCATTTTAGCTGCAAAGTATTATGTTTTGCTTAAAATTGCTAAGTATTGGGTGTCTATTAATAATTAGTTGGCAGTAAATTGAAACTTTACTTTCGGAAGCAGATGATTAAAGCTGGTTAGTGGTGAGTGTCAAAACATACTGTGTATTGAATAAGTATGCATAAATATGCATGAAAGCAGTATACTATAAATTACATTAATGTGTGACACTTGACATCCACTCTGTGAAGTCATCGTTCTCCACAGGCCCTTGAGAGGACAGATGTGACGTGACTGCCATTTTATTGATCAAACCAGTAATAAATGTGAGCTCTCTCTCTCTATCTCTCTCTCTCTCTCTCTCTCTCTCTCTCTCTCTCTTTCTCTCTCCAACCCCCCTATCTCCCACCCCCCTTTGGAGGTAATCATTGTTAGATTACTTCATTTACTTCGTTGATTGGTTTTGGGGCGCCCTGGCCACTTTCCCTGATGGCAGACACATCACCCCCCGCTTCCCCCTCCACAACCACACTGCAGTGAACGAAACTCTGATGAGCTGACTTCAGCTCCTCTTCTCCTCTGAGCACAGTGATGTTCTCTTTGGCACAAACTCTGAGATTCAGATTATTGCAGCTGTGTTTGAGCTTCACTGTGCAACTGCAAATCTTATTGGTTTGAAAACAAACCTAAAAATCCAATAGTGCTGTGCCCAGAGGCTCATTTTCAGTGGGTGCTAGGAGTATAAAAATGCAGCAATGCACTTTGTTGTGTTAATTTGATGATGTCGGTTAAGTTCCAGCGGTTTTAGAGTGTTAGAATTGATTATAATTTATTAAATAAAAAAAAATGTGTGTGTTCATTTTTTGGGCAAATTGGCAAAATAGTATCATACGTTTGGGCATACTTGTTGCATGCAGGGTCTCCACTAGACTAATTCTGTAGGAAATAAACAATGGGAACCAGACAGGAACATCAGGAACAGTCTGTGAACTTTCACCAGTTTGATTCAGATATAATTCTTTAGAATTCAGTGCATGATGTCATCTGAAGTTCACCATTGTTATGGCTGGGTCTAGTGTCCAGTCGCTAGAGACAAGAGAGATGAGACAACTGTTTATTGAGCAGCAGGATTGAACTTCAGAAACCCACAAGACCAAAACAGCAACCAAAACACCCAACTAGCTAGAGAGAGAGAGACTACCTTACGTCACCAAAGATAAAACCAAAACCAAAGTGAAATAAAAGATGCACAAATATTCCCTAACACGCTAACTAGTGATAACCAGAAGAAAAGTGAATTTAACCATAAATGCCATCAAACTCCCTACTTTCTGACACAAATACTTCCAACTACTCATAGTGCTGTGACAGGATTACAAATGTGTAGATTATTTACAGGTTATTTCAGTCAGGCAAACAAATACAAATGGGGTCAAAACAGGCAAAGGATTAGGCATACCTAACAATTGAATGATCAAAAGATTAAAGCACAAATCACGCCAATGAAAAATGAGAGAGCAGTTTCCCATCTGGTGGACACAACACTGATTTTGTAGGAGATACAATAGGAACCGGATAATCGGGAACAGAGGTTGGATTCACCTGATCAGGAACAGCAGACAGACTGATCGGCTACACCTGTAACAGATAAACACACATAAAACAGACACAGATAATAAGGACTGGGTTTGTAACACCGTGATTTGGTTGAGTTTGATTTTATTTATCTGATACGATTAAGAATAGGAACGCACAATATGGGAATTGTTCACGTATTTGCTGATATGTAAACATTTATGAAATTTGGAAATTGTGACTAGATCCAGCTGGATTAACATTTTTAGCATTAGAATTATTAAGGAAAAATGCAACATTTGTTTCTAAAGGGCTACAAATGCAGTAAAATTAATAACATAAAATGCAGATATTTGCACAGTTGTCCTGTCGTGCGTAAAAAAAAAAGCTCTTTTAGGATTCAAAATGTTATCAAATATTGCTTTGAAATATCTGTAAAATCTAAACATCTGTGTTGATAATTTTTACTGATATGATTTTGATAGCATTGTTCAGTCACTTTTCAAATGCACTGAATACACAGATGTGACTAGAGGACAATAAAAACAAAGAAATAAAAAGGAAAAAAAAGGTATTTTTTATGATTCTGTGACAGTGTTTACATTTGAAAATAACCCAAGAGTTTTATTTTGACCAAAAATAAGCACTCACTTTATTGAATATTATTTATTATTGGTTATAATAGATTCTGTCACTTTGAATTGCATTTGAATCACTACCTTCAGATAATGATGCAAAAGTAAATTTCATACCACTGGTATGATTCTAACTAATGTATTTACAAAGTAATCCATCCATCCATCATCTAAACCGCTTATCCTTCTGGGTCGCGGTGGGGTGCTGGAGCCTATCCCAGCTGTCATTGGGCGGAAGGCAGGATACACCCTGGACAGGTCGCCAGTCCATCACAGGGCAGACAGACAGACATACACATTCACACATTCACATTTCTGTGTGGAGTTTGCATGTTCTCCCCGTGTCTGCGTGGGTTTCCTCCGGGTACTCCGGTTTCCTCCCACAGTCCAAAAAACATGCAGTCAGGCCGATTGGACATGCTAGATTGCCCCTAGGTGTGAGTGTGTGTGTGAATGTGTGCAAAGTAATTTTCTTGGTTAAAAACTTTTGATAAATATAGATAAGAGTACACAGAAACCTCCAGCAAAAGTATTATTAAGTGTGCATGAGTGAGAGCTGGTTAAAATCATACAGCTTTAGTGGTGTTTTTTATGTTCTTTTCTTGTGTCTTGGCACAGGCATTGTGCCTGAGGTTGAGCTATTTGTCACTGTAAACATACTGAATGCAACACTGCCACAGGATGCTAAAGCATAATGAGGCTTTGACAGAGTTTTGAAACAGAAAGTCTTCAGGGAGTCTGTATGACAGCACTGTGCTGTTTCTCACACGTGCGCTCACATTTGCATCGCCCAACCAATGACAGATTGAAACACCTTTTTTTGCTTGGAACACGCACACAGGCACATGCACACAGTTTAAACGAAAGCCTGCTTGTATTTTACTTACAGAAATAAAGAAAAAACAAATAACAGAAATAAAACGTGTTTACACAGACTGCAAAGCACTCGCTGCATCTTTCATATCTACATGTGACTTAATTGAAAGTCTCTACTTTTAGGATTCTCACTTACATCTGCCTTTCTCCCTTTCTAACCTTTATAGCTGCCTTTCTCCCTTTCTGTCACTTCTTCTGCACTTCCAATCTAGTCTTTTATTCTAATTGCCCTAAAGCTTCTTTCCAGCCTGCAGAGATTTCACTACAGACCAATCCCAAATAGTCATAGTCAAATGATTCACCACTGATTTTAGAAAAGCAATCTTTCTTTTTTTTCCTGGGTTCTGACTTCATTTCTTCCTTTCTTATTCTCTCTTCTTTTTTCCTTTTGATTTGTGCATTCTAATGTCTCCTGTGTCATGTTTTCTCTGTGGCTTTTTTCTTTGTCTGAGATCATTCCTTCAATTTCCTTAGGCAGTCATTAGTCTCTACATGAGATTGCAACATTGAAATGAGTTATGTGCATTTTGCAGCGCTTTGAAATTATGCAAGTGCACATGATGACTTTGTAATAATCTGTCTCTTTCTCTTTTTGCCTTTATGCCCTTGTCCTTTTGTGATCTCTTTGTTAGTCAAATTAATTGTTCCTGTGTCTTTCTTTCTTTGCCTTTTGTCTTTCTGCAGGAGAGCTGTATATAGGTGGTGTGGGGAAGACTATGTATAACAGTCTGCCCAAGCTCATCGCGTCCCGGGACGGTTACCAGGGCTGCCTGGCGTCCGTGGACCTAAATGGCAGACTGCCAGACCTGATCGCAGACGCCCTCCACAGGGTGGGCCAGGTGGATCGAGGATGCGATGGTCAGTAACCTTTCCAATCTTGCCCTTGACCTAACAAACGTAAACGTGAAAGGGAGTGATTTTGCTTTGCTATTAAATGTGTGGTGAGAGTAGTGTTGCGCAGTGTGAAGGAAAATTGTTGGAACCAATGCTGCTTTGAGTATTTCTATGACTGCTAATCTCCTTGGATTTGCTTGCAAAACAGTGTCTAGAGTTTACTCAGAATGGTGCAGTAAAGAGAAAACATCCAGTGAGGGGCAGCTCTTTGGATTTTTGATGAGAGAGGTCAGTGGAGAATAGCCAGACTGGTTGGAGCAAACAGAAAGGCTACAGCAACACAGATAACCACTCTGTACAATTGTGGTAAGCAGAAAACCATAACAGTATGCACAGCTTGTCAAACCTTGAGGCAGATGGGCTATAACAGCACAAGACAATGTCAGGCTCCACTTCTGTCATCCAAATTGAAAGCTGAGGCTGCAGTGGGCGCATACTCCTCAAAACTGGACAGTTGAAGACTGGAAAACCGTAGCTCGGTCTAATGAATCTTGATTTCTGTTGAGGCACACAGATGGTAGGGCCAGAATTTGGTGTCAACTGCATTAATTTATGGACTCCTTGAGTCCATGAATTTATTCATGTCAGCAGTCCAGGCTGGTGGAGGTGGTGTAATGGTGTGGGGAATGTTTTCTTGGCACACTTTGGGCTCATTAATACGAATCAGTCATCACCTAAATTACACAACCTGTTTGAGTATTGTTGCTGCCCATGTCCATTCCTTAATGGCCAAAATTTACTGATCTTCTAATGGCTTCACCGACCCAGTGTCAGGCAGATAGTTTGCAAATGTGTGCAATTCAACACCACTGGTACCCTTCCTTGCAGTAGTCATCCAATAAAAATAACTCCCAGAATAAGGCTTAGAATATTCTGGGAGATCACAAAGAACCCCAGGGCAACATGTTAAAAGCAACATTCTGTAGACTGCCAGAAGATTACAGAAATAATCTACTGCAGATGCCAAAAATTGATCTTTATGGCTGAAATGAGAGATATTATGCAAAATCGAACACTGCATTCCAGCATAATTACCTTATCCCAACTTTGAAAAACGGAGGTAGCAGTATCATGGTTTGGAGCTGCTTTGCTGCTGTTGGACCAGCACAGCTTGCCATCATTTGATGAAGCTATGAATTCTGGATTGTATCAAGAAATTGTACAGGAGAATGTTAGGGCATCCGTCCATGAACTGACCCGAAACAAAATGTTTCCTGCAGAAAGACCATGACCTTAAAAACACCAGTTAGTCTACAAACAATGGTTAAAGTAGAAGGATTGTTGCGTGTTAGAATGGTCCAGACCTTAATCCAATAGAAATATTGAGGCAGAACCTAAAGTGTGATGTTCATCAACATAAGAGTTGAAGCAAGTCTGTAGGGAGGAATGGGCCAAGATTCCTTCAAGTCAATGTGCAGTGCTGATCAAGAGTTACCAATTAGTTGTTGCTGCCCAAGGGGGTCACATTAGTTACTGAAAGCAGAGATGCACATACTTTTGCCAACACAGATATTTAATGTAATTGCTTAGTTCCATAAATGATGGACAAACTATGTACTTTTTTGTGTTGCTGATATACCTTTTGTGTTATCTGTTTAACTGGGTTCTCTATCTGTTGTTATGAGTTAAAGGAAGATCTGATCATATTTTAGGTCACTTTTTGTAGGAATTTACTAAAATGATAGAGTTTTTATGTGATCTGTCTGCAGGAAAACAGTGAATTGAGTGTTTGTTGACAGAAGGCAAAATGACTTGCAAAGGAATGAAACACAAAAAAAAAGATGCAAACTAGACTAAAACAATGTCCTTTACTTGACAAACGGCAGCTGACCAAAATGTACTGTAAAGTTTAATTGTGCATTGCTGACACTCATCAGGCTACCTGTGCTAGATGTCTCTTCTCTTCCTCATGCACCCTGTTCTTAAAGTGTTTCTCAGTACTTATGTGTTGAGTAAATATTGGATGAATTGCTGGTGTAACCACAACTGGGCGTTCTTTCCAACTAAAAAAGCAAGCAGTGCTGTGTCTGGAGAAGCAGGACACCTTTGCTAGTTGTGTAGATTAATAAAAATGTGAAACATTGAAAAAATGCAAAACATTTTCTTGTGGAAACACTGGTTTTAATCATACTGTGATGAATGTTATGTTGGGCTGATTGTGTTTCCTCATCTTGCTGTTCATCTTCTCTTCAAAGCATGTTGAATGACGCCATAATTCAGTTCTTCATTTACTGCTTTTATTTGTTTAACTTTAAAAGAGTTTTGTATATATGAAAAATTAGATTGAAATCAACAATGTAAAATGTTAATTAAGCTGTTACAGTTTTAACAGTATTGTGACACACTAGAAATCAAAGTCAAAATTCTGTCGAAAAAATACCTCCTTGTCTCTCATTCCTAGGTGTGACCTAACCTACATGATAGTGAATGGTAGTGGTTTTGCTTTAGCTTTAAATATGTGACGAATAAATACAACAATGGACAGTTATATACAATAATGAATAATGATGAAAGTTTACCATTGCAAATTATATTTTGTTCATGCTTCATCTCTAATGAACTTATAGAATGTAGATGATATTCCAACATGAACAAAATAAAAGTTTATGGACTTTTCAAAGACCTAACAACCCACCATTTTCTAAAAACAGCACAGCAGTGGGCTTATGGTTAATGTTGTGTTTGTTTTGGCTCTTATGTCAGCAAAAAGTTCCTGACCACTCAAAATGGTCTCTGTGTGCAATAACCACAAATGAGCAAGGATCCTATTTATTCTTAATGCTGCCAGCTCATATATAGTGCCCTTTCCTTCAGCTAAAACTCAGCAGTCTTTTTTTCCTTGTAGCATTCGATATGAGGCCTGGCCAGCAGTATTCCAGACAAGCATGTCAGCCATGTGCTTTCTACTTAGTATTTGTAGCTGTAAGCCCCAGCTAGTCTAGCTTGCTAGCATTTTTTTAAGCATTACAGCGCTAATCTACAATGCTCTGCTGTAATTTCCCAATGGAGCCCCTCTCATTTCAGTTTTACCTCTGTCTACCTCTGCCAAAACAACCTTATTACCTGCACATACATACCCTCTCCCATCACCTTGTCATTTTTTGTTTCAGAAAACATTAAAATCAGATTGAGTGCTTAAGCTTCGCTTATGCTAATCATACCATGCTGCATTCTGGATGGGTAACATTATTGGATTTTATATTGCATGTGTTTGTTTTGACATTTAAAGGGGCTCTTCTCCAAATTTAATGGATGGCTTACAATTGCCTTGTCAGACTTTATTATACAGATTTTTTTTCCTTCCAAAATCACCTCTGATAGCATCAGGCTAGCCTTATTTTCTTAGGCATGAAATACCTGCCTGATGATCTAAGATCAGCAAAGCATAGTTGTTCATCAATCAAAGCCTAATTTGAAAAGCATTAATCATGCATTACGTTCACCAGCTAATGTAATTTCAGCAAAAATACTACATGAGAAGATATTGCTTATTCCCACATGCCCTTGTATAGCATACATAGAGAATCTATATTAAGTCATATATTATTTCTTCCTGAGTGACTGTATAGGCTAGGATCGGAGATCAGGTGGAGGGGTACAGGAAGGGAAAGATAGAGGAATAGACAAAAGAGGGGGGAAAAAGAGATCCGGGGCAATAGAGCCAAACCCTGCCAGATGTTTCTGCCAGCTGTCGATTCCAGGTAGAGGCATCACAGACTGTGTGAACTGAGCATAAAGACATGTAGGTGGTCTGTCTGTTCGTCTCTCTCATACATATGCGCGCTATGTTTTTATGCTTTTAAGGCTTTCAACACACTACACGCACAAGCCAAATCTATACACTACTGACCTCTTGAAATGAAATGACATCATAGTCCTGTGATTATGCTAAAATTGACCTGCAGTTATTGCAGAAATAGCATTTTGTTTTAATTGATGCCCTCCAGACTCCTATGATCATTAGCATATGATTGATGGCCCAGTCAGCTCTTGGGGCCATCAGAATAATAACCAATAAAATTAAACATCTCATTTGAGCACCCGTTCTATAATGGAACTAAATGAAATGGCTGGGCGTTGAATGAATTTTTTATTTACATGAACTAAGCATTGAGTCAGTCACAATGTTTTTCTCACATCTGTAGGTCAGGTTGTCTGTAAGTTATGACAAACACATTTCCTCTTATGCTCTGATGCTTTGCTGGTGCATCATAAAACGTCATTTTGTTTATATCTCTTGTTTTATTCAGTTAACTTTTTGCTACATATATACTCATTCACATTAATGTAGAGTAAGTGACACATACACAGTCAGATTTCTTTGAACTTAAAGCCTTGGTGTGCATTGATAATGTACTGAGATTTTAAATGCAATTCAAGCTGTCACCACGCACATCCTCAGCAGTTTCTAGAGAGAAAGTCTGTAGATAAAAATGACATTTCCAAGCACAAAGCAGTCTTTATATTGTGAATAGTGCAATAGTTCAGTTGACAGGTAATAACATTGTAGGTATTGTTAATGTTGTAAAAAACATGTTACGAGGTACATTACAAGTTGATTATTGATCCGCTGTTTGCAGGTCATTTTACTTTGTCTGGTTCACACAGCATATACAGTATACCTAACTGGCATAGCAGACCATAATGTTGCAGTAATGGTGTGAGTTTATTTGTGGAACTGAAGAATGGCTAATGAAAGCTCAAAATCTTGGTCCACAGGTCTGTTTTACCCCAACTTGCATTTACATGCAAATATCTTAATCTTAGGAAAAATAAACAAATTCCTTCATTCTAGTCAGAATACAGCAGTAGCCAGCATTACCTCATCTGAATCGTTAATGGAGCTAATAACAAGCAACTGCTAGCATTCATTCACCAAGATTAACATTTTTGGCATTCTTTTAAGTCTTTGAATAACAAGATTTTATCATCTAAGACCTTGTTTTCTTTTAAACACCAAAAGAAACCAGATTCAGTAAATAACATTGTCTTTGTTCCCTGTCAAAGTCATTACAGCACAGTTCCCCCCAGTGTTATCCACTGTAGCTTATTCAGAAAGTTAATGCACACTCTGTATGAAGGCTGGGAACAGGACAGGAAGGGCTGACTTTTATTTAACATCAGATACTGATGAGGCACATTGATTGTCCCTCATTTCTGTTAATGCAATAACAGCTTTGATGCACAGTGCAAAGCAGCAAGCGGTCTGTCAACACTCCAATAGCTGCTGCATAATTTTACAGAATAATTTTAGCATGTGTCATAACAGATGTCTCCTCCATTTGTTAATGAGCAGCCGGACGTGTTCATCGTGTTGTTTTTCTGTGTGTGTGAGGGCTTTTCAGAGCAAGCATGTGTGTGCTGTAGATCTGATTTGATTTCTAGATGAAATGACGTGTGTGTGTGTGTGTGTGATTTCTTTAATGCCAGAATGTGTGTATTGGTGATCATTCCTAAATGTCAAGATGTTCTAAAGTATCCGTTCTTTTTTACATAGGGTGTCATGATTGCTAGAATAGACTATATTAAAAAGGTAATTGATTACATTGTATCTTTCCAGTGAATCTGCAGTAAATAGTTGTCATTTTGTACGATGGTTATGAATATTTAAAATTTTCCTGCTGCTAAGAAACACATTCATATGCACACTATTAATATGCATTTCTAGCCACATAGTGATTTAATTCTTTTCAAGGATTATTTTGTTTGTACAAAATGTCAGAGCCCACTCTAGCAAAACAGCCATTAATTTAATTGCCTGTTAAAACAGCCATTAAGTACATTTTTTTTTATTTTTCAGCATTAGAAAAAAAAAAAACAGAACAGAAAACATATATGTGCCAGGCATCAGTGACAGCACGAAGGCAGAGAGGTGTGAGGACAGACCCAAGATCTGAGCCCTGCCTCCTGAGCCCCGCCTCCTGCTCTGCAGCAAGGCTGCTGTGCTACCCCTAATGTTTGATCCCTGTGGCCGAGCTGCGAAGTGGGGGCAGTAATGGGGAAGTGGAACTGTGAGCTCTCTTTTTATCTCTGAGCTCAGGTACTCACGCTGCCCTTAATGAGAGTCAGCTGATGCTGGTTTGGCTTTGTCAGCATTGGCACCTTTGCAAGGAGCGGAGAGGGAAGAGAGAGAAGACGGACGAGCAGCAGCAAAAAGGACTGATGATCTGAAAAGCAAGTGTTTGAGGCGAAGACTGAAAAGTATAGCTAGAAGCCACTTAAAAGTGGCCGGGTTTTTGGTTTTGTAGTTTTGTTTGGTATTCCGTTTAAAACAAATTAAAATGGCTGCTGCTAAAACTGTCCTGCCTGCCTCCAGCATCAGTCTTCCTTCTGGGGTAGCACATGGTGTGCTACAGTAAATTTAACAGAAAATTACACAGAAGCCAAAACAATGAAATATTGGAATAGTTATGTAATATTTATTTTTTTCAGTGCGTTTGTTACAGCTTCCATTCTTTTCAGGAGTCTTGTTTTCAGTTTATCAGAGAAGCTCGGTCTCAGAACTTGGTTGAACAACTTCTCACAATCCAAGTAAAGCCATACACATTTAATGATGTTGAGGTCTGAACTCTGGGGTGGGTGGTCAGTTTATTGTTCTGGGAATGGCAGCAGCTTTTTTTTTGTTTAATTTGCAAATGTTTTTTTTCTTTCTACTGTGTTTTCTTTTCTCAGTAAGGGCTACCCATTCTTTTAGACCTATAGGTTGAGTTATCTCCTCACAGTGGAAGAACGGGCAGAAACTGTGGAAGTTTTCAGAACTAAATCAAGAGTGGAGTTTGATTTTCTCCTCTCTCTTAAAGATAAAAGCTTTAAGTGCTGCTTATCTGATGGGGACAGTTTTGCTTGTTAGGGGTTCCATTTTCTTTGTATTTTTTCATCTTTTCTTGAACTCCAGTCTCTGATTTTAGCACAGTACTGTTTGTATGTATGCACACTTATGTTTGTGTGTGTGTGTCTGTGTGTAGGACCCAGCACCACCTGCACGGAGGACTCCTGCCATAATCAGGGAGTGTGTCTGCAGCAGTGGGAGGGCTTCTCATGCGACTGCACCATGACGTCCTATGGAGGCTCGTACTGCAGCGATCGTGAGTACACACTTTCGCCCTCTTTCGCTTTGGCTCGTTTTTCACTTCAGCCTCCTACCATACACTCTGCCTGGTGTTAGTGTAGTCAGTGTAGAGGTTTTGCATGTAGGTTTTGGTTGAGCGTATAAGCTGAATAAAAGCAATGCACTGAATTTACTTGATTTAAAAGTCTACAGAATTTCCACATGAATAAAATTTATTACTTGTCAGTGATTGTGTTGAAGTAACATTTTTTGTGCATATTTAAAGAAGGTAAATTCAGTGCATGATGTTTTTTTCGCTGCAGATGTAGATGTGAGCACTTGTCTTTTCTGCAGCATAGTCTGTTTAGATGTTGGTGATGTGCTTTATTTATTCAGGTTTAATTTTCATTCGTGTCAGTTACACTGCTGAAAACATTATTGAGTGCTTTTGATTAGTGCTTCTGTGACACCTCCCTAGTGGCCACTTTACCCCCTTTTGGCTTCTACCTGTCATACACAAGAAAATAAAAAAAAGGAGTTAAACAGCTTCAGTGTCAATGTCAGAAATCTCTCACTGTTCCAATGATACATGTTAAACATAAAACCATTTCTTATTTAATTCTGAACCTTGTGCTTGCATTTTGATGTTTTTTGGCAAATTTCAGTTCATCTGCATCTTATCTGATGTCATTATTAACGGCTATCATGCTGTGTCTTTAGGACCACTCCTGGCCTGTACCACAGTTTGCTCCTCAACTGCACAGCAGTTTGTCCAACTGCTTATTAAAATTACAGTTATATGTTTAGAGGCATCTGGGCAGTGTAACATGCCAGCATACTGAAGCCCACAGGAGGGCAAGAGTGACCAGAGCAAAGGGAGGGAGTGAGAAGCAGTAAATATAGAAAGAGGGGAGATGAGATATTCGTTTATTATGCTCGGGTTTGGACTACATCGTTTACACTGAAACAAAGTGATGCATTAAACTTGCTTAACCTTTTTAAAGAGTGATTAATCTTTCAGTACATCACTAAAAACCATATGTGTCATAGGTCCATATGAGAAATATGTTTTAGATTTAGGTAGGCTTATTTTGGGGCCTTTTCCATACTTGAGAAAAATGTGTGCTCCATTTCTGTATTACATCAACTCCAAAAGTAAGACAGTTGAGTTGATGTATTTTTTTTTTTTTATTCATATGAAAATTATGTACACATTTGATTCACGTATGTTCAGTACATCACTTTTTTCAGTGTGCTTAGACAGGTGCTGAAAATCAGTAATGAACTGAGATGAATTGGCCATGTTGAGTCTGCCTGCTGAGTTGGTTTGCAAGAACACAGAATAAAGTGAACAACAGGATTAAACTTTGCTTTAGGTTGAGAATTGTGCAGAGTTGCCACGGCTGCTGCGGTAGGTATTTTCTCACTTCTTAACTGGCTGATTTATTGAAATGATTAATTAGTTTTCAGTTATCTCCCTGCTGATATTCCATACTTAATCAGGAGGTAATTGAAAGCCAGAACACACAAGCGTACACACGCAGACCTGATAACAGCTGCATGACCTTGTCTATCAGAGACGGGAACGTTCTGTCAAGCTAGTTAAGAAGTGAGATGGATCAGTTACCTCCTAGTGGTGTTCTATTTTTGTCTTACTGTGATGGAGAGCACGTCTGTGTTTACTAGAGGAGAAAAGGGTCAGATTGCGTTCAATCCTTGAGCTAACCTTTTCATATTAGTCTACCATTTTAGATATGTTAAGGCGTCCTAGTGTTTACAGTAGCCTAACAGCTGATCTTGTGTATGTCTGGCTTTGGTTGGGTGAATGAAATTCAGACAGAATTTTAAAAATAGTAGTCTCATTGAATAAAGCTTTTTGGCCTTTTATGTTTCTTGTGTTGCTGTAAAAGGCTTGAAGTTGACAGCATAAGAAGGAGTCGGCAGTAATGTGTGTACGCAGTTTTATCCTAAGTCTTGCTTAATGGGTAGAGTTCAGTGAGATATACCAGGCAGCAGTTGCATGGCGCAATGGAAAAATTAGAAACAAACAAAAGAGTCAATCAGAGAGTAAACAGAAATGACATTTTACAAAAAAATAAATAAATAAATCTTCTAAAAATCTGAATTAAGTGTGGAAACAATCACTTAAATTGCAGTGTTAATAGTCAGTAATTATCTTAAGACTATTATAATTCAATGATCGCTGCTATAAATTATTATTTCATTAATATGAAACGTATATTGAAATGTAAATTATGTAGATAAGAAGATGAAGAACGCAAATGTTTAACAGCTGGTGTGAAGACGCTTTGGTCTCTAGTAACTGGTATATTGTAAGTTATTAAAATAAATAAAATGTTAACAGTTTCTCTCTGGTTTGCTCCCTACAATGCCTGACTTAGTATGAATGCATGCTTTTGTTCTACTGCTATTGGTGTTTGTGTTGTTGTTGTAATGATTTGATGCTGATAAACAGATCACCCCCAAGAAAGGATCTTCGATTCTGATAAACTTTCAGCTTTCTTCTCTTTTTCTGACTTCACTTGGAACGAGTTGGACTTTTCAATTTGTTCAGCTTTCATTCATTTCTGTCTTTGCCCTCGTTCGTTCTGCCACACGCTCCAGATTTCCTCACTTTGGCACAAAGAAGACTTTTTATGGGCTATCAGCTGGCTTCCTGACTGCTTTTGCTCGGCTTTCTTTCTGAAAGTGAAGCTTAATCATTACAGAAGCTTTCATTGATACGCACCACTTGTCTCATACTCTGCAATACTCACTTACAGTAACTGTATACTTCTAATACCGGTCACGAATTAGAGTTACAGTAGGTAACTCTTGTGGTAAGTTTACATGATGAGGAATGAATAAGATGGCCTAAAACTGAACAACGCTTTATACTACAGGTGATCAACACACAATTCATTGCCACGGCTTGGATTTTGGTCTGTTAGAGAACCAATAGCGATGTGCTCACTGAGGCTGTAATTCCGTAGAGAAATGTCTTTGTGTTGAATGTAGGCTGAGTCTACAGTGCAGGTTTATGCTGCCCTTGAAAGTTATTGAGTGCTGGTATATTGAATTATGTGACAAGCTTGGAGTGCACACTAATACAGATACACACACGCACGCCCAAACACACACACACACACACGCACGCACACAGTACAATCATACTTTCATTAAATTTAAAAACTGCCAGTATAGAATTAAATAAAGTCAAAGGAGTGTTTGTGTATATGAGAGAAACCCTGTGCTCCACTCACTATCACTGCCTCCAGATGGCTGACTATAAATGAGCCTCCTTTACTTGAAAGAGTGCTCCCCATCTCTCTCTCTCACTCTCACTCTCTCTCTCTCTCTCTCTCTCTCACTCTCTTGCTCTCTCTTTTAGCAAAAGCAAAATAAACTCACTAGTATGTGAAAATGCAGAATTTCTGCCTTTGGCAGACACTTTTGATATAAAACAGTAAAAGTTCTTTTTTGTAAAAATTGTAAAAGTTCTCTCAATAATCAGTAGACACTCAGAAAAACTCAACTAAACACACACACCCTCAAACTTGCTACACCTGCTGATTTTGGGAGGCCAAACAAGTTTAATTTTTGGATAAAGTATTTAAAAACAAAAATTATAAAACCAAAGTCAGAGAGATGGTGAAATAATGTGAGAAACAGGATTTTTAGAACCCAAGGACACATTACAGTGGTAACTAAAAACATAATCATAACATATAGTAACAGTTAACATATATATATATATATATATATATATATATATATATATATATATATATACACACACACACACACACACAGTTCCCCAGCTGTTTGGATAGAGTCCTTATCTACTGGGCATGTCCCTCCTTAGCTCAAGAAGCGTTGTAGCTGCGGTTTAGCATCTCTTAAGCTGTTTTCACACTGAACGCAGTATGTCTCGCAGCTCATGTCTGCGGCAAGCTGCTTTCACACCACTATAAAAAAGTGAGCAGCAGTGGGGTGTGGAAGTGAGCGCCGTTGTCCAATAAAACTAGCCTTTCAGGTTTCTTCAGGAACAACAAGACACGCCTACTGCTATCTTATTGGCTGCACTGAGAATTGGCTGAAGTGCATCACGCAAAAGTTGAAAACATTTAAGATTTACATGATCCTGTGCATCTTCTGTGGTGGACAGCAAAAATCTGTATTTTTACCAATGCATCCTATTAAAAATACTGTGTTTGAAAGCATAGCAGTGATTCTTCCACCTTCAGTGTGAAAGCAGCTTTAAGCCTTGTAGCTGCAGTGTAACGTTGCTCCTCCGAAACCTTGTAGGTGTTGTGTAGCATCGCTCAAATGGTCGCTCCGGAAAGCCTCACTGCTGTGGTGCAGCGTTGCTCAGGCAGTAAGCTTAAAGCTTGGGTTACACTACACTTTTATCCCAATTTTATCCCTGATTCTTAGTCTGGCTGAGTCTGTGATAGTTGGCTCTAGCCCGCTGATTTTTGGGTCAGTGGGAGTCAACAGCTGGAGAATGAATCAAGTAGTGTGCGAGGAGTGCAGACTAAGATTTTTGGCCTCCCAATTGCATTTCAGACCAGTCGGAGTTTATTAAATGTTTTTGACCCGACTCTGAGCATAATCTAGTAACTGTAAACTGATCAGCGACTCAATCTGAACAGATTCCTGCAACAGCCACTAAAAACTGAGAGCCCGAAAAAAGAAAATACAGCAAGTAAACAAAGTAAAATGGCAAAAGGTCACACACGTGTGGGGCAAAGCTTTTTAATGAGCTTAGTTTAAGGCACAAACACAACGAAGTTTTTAAAATAAGATTTATAACTCTAAAAAATACCAGACTGATCACATTTTCAATCCATTAGTCTCACTTAAACATGTTTACCTGCTGGGTCTTTACTGGGTCAGTGCAAATGGCAGAGAAAGCGGCTCCACCTTTATTTATTCGCGTCTCCTAGTAACAGGAGAATGTGAGAGCTCTCATGGGTTTGTGTGAATTCGTGCGACTTTAGTGAGCTCCGTTTAGTTCAGCAACGGCTTAAAAGT